GGTCGGTGTCACACCTCATTGAGGTAGATGCGGCGGTTACTCAACTCGGAGGCCGAGTAGAGGAAGACAAAAGCCAAAATTTTTAGAACACTTGGTACCGGAAGACAGACAGGCACTAGACCAAGTCTCAGTGCGTGTCGTAGACCTACCAGATACATCATTAACCTAATCAACCCCGCGACCTTTCTGGTTGGAGGGTATTACTGCTGATCCTAACCATCACAGTGCGTGCCATAACAATGCGCGCGTATACTTTTCGAAATCTTACTCACCGACTTTTGTCCCCGGCTTCAATAGCCAAGGAAACTGTTTCAAGTGTCACGCTCAAGCGTGCATACCCTTTCCATTCCAGACTGGCTCCATCATGGTAGCCGACGCCGTCACCGTGTCGAATGCAAAAGCATGGCCAAATACCCTTGTAAGGGTATTTGGTCCGACACCGCTATTGCCTTACTTTTTTTTTTCCTCTCAATTTTTTGTTATACGAAAACTACTCTCAGGTCCGGATCCCATATGACCCCAAAAAGGTTGTGGAAAGGTTCTGTGTTTTTTCGCAAAAGTCTTCCATGGGGCCCCACAGGCCATGGGTTGTGGACTAGAAAACGATCCAAATTTGTTTCCACATGGTCTGCGGTGTGGAAAGTTCCATTGGAGGGATTTTCGCCGCAGTATTGTGCCGGCTCTTTAACACTTGGGGGAGGGGCATCTCGAAGGTTTCCAAGGTGTCGACCACAGGGCGGACGAGAAGATGTCCGCTCAACCGTTTGTTCGGGTTCTGGAGCAGCAGTGTGTTTCATGGAGGTTGTCGCACGGTTCCTACGCTCCAAAGGCACTCACTCAGACGAAGCACCACTTTCCATTTCGAGACGATTTGCAGACACATTTCCTATTATGGAAAATGTTTTCAAGATTTTGCTGCAAAACTCCCTCCACAGTGGGGTCCCCGCAAAACACTTTCCAAACTTTTCAACACTCTTCCAACGAGCATTTCGTGAAAACGTACTTTCCAAAGGAATTCCTGTGGGGTCCGGGCCTCAATTTTATTCGCCTTTGTCATACTGCTGTGGCTAGAGGTCAGCTAAGCGAACTTTTGTCATCAGTTCGATCGTCTGGTTGTCCATCTAATGCTTGTGTGCCCAGGCAAGAAGCGTCGACGAGATGAACTCGTATTAGACCCACTTAGAAGGCTAGAGTTCTCATTTTTCATTGGACCCGAGATCTATTATGGTCATGCAAGCCCGACCTATCCGGTGGACCCGCAAAGCCAACTTTCATGCCAGCATTTGGTACTCGGGGATTAGGCGGTCACTTACTCAGGTTCTCAGGCCAGCGGGCCCGTAGCAGCCAAACTTGAATAAGGCCCCGCATCTGGATAAATAGTATGTCCAACAACAAATTTTTGTGCAGCAGGAATGAGGATGGGAAGTCGGTCCAGAGCGGGAGGCAACTTATCTTTGCACACTTGGAACTCAAGAAGTGTTTCATTCGTGGTTGTCGAACCAATATGATTTTCCAGGCCTCCCATATGGGTATTTGGAAGGACTCGGTAAGCAACAGTGGTACCCCATATAGGGGTGGCCAAATGGTGACCCTTTGGGAAAGGCTCAGTGTAACCGGGCCAATTTCGCCCCTCTCCCCGCCCTCTAGAATTCGGCGGCGCTTGACTATTTGTCGCCCTTACTGTTCTGGAAAGTGGCTTTTGTCGCCTGGCGGATTTCCACGTGCGTGTACGACAGCACTCCGTTCCTGGTACCTGCGACGCAAGACAAACGGCTGTACGACAATCAGGATCCTCCCCCCCATGCGTGGTAAGAATTCTATGCTTTACCTAAAGCAAGGTATGTTTACCTCGTACACTTTACTCCATACCTAACACCTATTTCAGGTAATGTTTTTCATTCTTTTCCAATTTTTCCCTTTGACGAAAGGCAGCCTACTTTCATAATTTCCTTTATTACCTTCTGAACTTACGAGAGGCGTGATTACCTTTTAGAAAACGATCCAAATCTGTTTCCACATGGTCTGCGGCGTGGAAAAGTTCCACGGAAGGGATTTCCGCCGCAATATTGTACCGACTCTTGAACGCTCGGGGGTGGGGCATCCCGAAGGTTTCCAAGGTGTCGACCACAGGTCGGACAAGAAGATGTCTACTCAACCGTTTGTTCGGGTCCTGGAGCAGCAGTGTGTTCCATGGAGATACGTTGCACAAACACTCACTCGGATGAAGCACCACTTTCCATTTCGGGACGATTGACGGGCACGTGTCCTAATACGGTAAACGTTTTCAAGGTTTGCCGCAAAACTCCCTCCGCGGTGGGGTCCCGACAGAACGCTTTCCAAACTTTCTAACACCCCGCAAAACGCTTTCCAAACTTTCCAGGGTAGGACCCCACATACGCGTGAGCAGCAAACAGTTTCGGAAGTTGGGAGGCAACTTCCGAGACCCCACATACGGATTTTGCCGCCGTAGAAGTCGTCGGCTGACCGTTTCCACTTGGTCCACGGCCCCCTTA